TCAAAACTTTGAATGTGGGGGGCCTCCCTGGTGGTTCAAGGAGTTAAGACACAGCACTATGAAGCTACCCACAGCCACTGAAGCATGAGTTCAATCCCCAGCCGGGGAGCTATCCACATGGTGCAGCAGACCTCTCCTGCCTCACCCGCTGCTCCCCTCAGCAGTGTATTTCAGTCAATCCTCCTGTTCTGTTCCCCACTCTGTCTCTGGTGAATCATCTCACCCCCCACACGTCTGGCCTGTACCCCAGTATCTGTATGCATAAATGAATAAATATTTAAAAAAAACCAAAATCTCGAATGTGACCCCAACTCAGGGGCAACCTTGGAGCCAGAGACCCGCTGGCTGCATGGAGGTTCAGGTTTGGACCTCCAGGGGCCGCAAATGATTATTGGCTGGTATGTAGTGCTGTCTGGGGTTTTGCAAGTCATCTGGGCCTGCAGGACTGTTGGAACATATTCCAGGGCTCACCAACCACCCTTACGTTCTTCCTCCCTACATTTCTTCAGCATATTTAGCTTCCCATTTCTTTCTTTCTTTTTTTTTTAGGCCTTTTTTATTTTATTTAAATTTTTCTAAAATTTTATATATTTTTTGCATCATTTTTCATTTTTGCACAATGTATGCATTTGCATCTTGGTTATAGTCCCCATACAATTCCCACCCCCCCCTTGTTTTGATCCTACTTCCTCCTCCCCCCATAGTGTGTCTCTGGTTTATAGTTGCTTGTTGATTTTGATTTTTACTTTATTATAATTAGTCTTTTTCCTGGTCCCTTATTTAGGTTTTTAAAATTCCTGCTATGAGTGAGACCATCTGGTATTTTTCTTTTTCTTTCTGGCTTATTTTGCTGAGCATGATCCCTTCCAGCGCCATCCATGTTGCTGCAAATTGCATGAGTTTATCTTTTTTGATTACTTAGTAATATTCCATTGTGTATATGTACCACATCTTCTTGATCCAGTCATCTATTTTTGGGCATTTGGGTTGTTTCCATAGCTTAGCGGTTATAAATAATCCAGTCAAAAAATGGGCAGAATAGCTAAAAAATAAACTTCTCCAAAGAGGAAATGCAAATGGCCAACAGGCATATGAAAAAATGTTCTACATCACTTGTAATCAGGGAAAGCAAATCAAAACTACCATGAGATACCATCTTACACCAGTGAGAATGGCACATATTAAAAAAAATAACAACAAATGTTGGTGAGGATGTGGAGAAAAAAGAACTCTCCTGCACTGCTGGTGGGAGTGCAAACTGGTCCAACCACTATGGAAAGCTGTGTGGAGATTCCTCAATCTGCTAAAGATGGAGCTTCCATATGATTCAGCAATTCCACTCCTAGGTATTTACCCAGAGAACACAGAAACATTAATTCAAAAGGGTACATGCACCCCTATGTTTATAGCAGCATTATTTACATTAGCTAAGCTCCCCATTTCTTAAAGCCCAATACAGAGATTCCCAAATCACTCATCTCAGCCAAAAGTGAACTCTGTCTTCAGAAATTTTATAAGTTGCATCTTACCCTGGCATGTGCCACTGTGGTTCCTGTGACTCATGGTTACTCTCCCTACTGGATTCGGGGATGCCTGTCATTAGAGCTTCCTCTACTTGGTGCCTGACCCCCTGTGCTCTTCAGTGACTGCTGGTGTTCTGTCCAGACCCTTCTTTTCCTGCCACACCCTCCCCTAGTGCTGACAACCCGTCCTGTTCCTTGGGTTGATGTTTCACGTGGGAGCACTTTCTCTGCCATGAGCAGTCAGACTTTGACTGGCCCCCTGTGACTACCTTGCAGGAAGGATGTCTGACTCTCTGGGAAGCTAGTGGAGAAAGCAAAATATAAAGAACAACTCTGGTTTCACTGTTGCCTGCCTGTCCTCTACCTTGGGCAATGTCTTAGCATTTGTAGATTTCATCGTCACTTTCTGGTGTTATCAAATAACTTCAAAATGTGTATTAAAATATCCAGAGAGATTTAATCCCAAGGCTCCACTCTCGACTTCTCCCTCCTCCCAGCTCAGCTGTGACTCAGAGGAAGGGGCTGTGGTTAGTGTCTTCACTGCTTCTCCTTCGCTCTCCTTTTCTGTGGGCTATGCAGCTCTGGCGCATAGCCAGAGGTTGGAGGGTTGGAGCAACAGGGTGGGAGCAGAGGAATGGGGACATAACAGAGAGGGAAGGTCATTCTTGCTTGGTCTATTGCAATCTGGCACCGGGGACCCCAGCTTGTGGTAACGTTGTGTAAACGCTGACGCATTTTCTTGTGGTGAGCATTTGTGGGTCTTCCTAGGGAGGGTCCCCCACTGTGTCTTTAACTTGCATGGGAGATGCATATCTCTAGCTGGCAGTTTATGATCCTCATGTCCCACCTCTGATTTCCATGGGCCACCTCCAGCCTAATCCTGCCTGGGTTGCCTTGCGGCTCAGGAAGCCTGCATGACTGGAGATCTTTGCAAAAGAAAATCAAACCTGCCACCTTCCTCTCTTTGCCATGTCAGTGAAAGCACAGCTTGTTCCTACCGTCATCCTCTCTGTCTCCTGCATCAAGCTGTCCCTATCCAGCTCCTTATCTATAGACTTTTCTAGACAGGTCTGGGGTCAGCCCTGTCTCTCTCACTCCAGTGACTCATGCCAGGCTCTCAGAAGAGTTCCCTCCCCAAGAGGTTCCCTTTATTGGTGTCAGCACAACGTGGGGTGCTGTGGCTCAGTAAGTATCTGGCTGGAGGAGTGAGGCCCGTGTGAGAAACGTCCTTGCTGTATTTTCGGTCATCCTGAAGTCATCCTGAGGGGAGCTCTCCTTTCACCCCCTTCTCACCACAGCTGAGGAGGGGTCAGAGCTAACATGCTGACAGCTTTCTCTTTAAGGAAATTCTCTTATTCAGTCTCTACCGATTATCTTTTGCAGCTTACAGAGAGGGGGTAACTAAGGGAATGATTTTCCAGCTTTTTCGTTTGACTACCTCCTAAAAGGATTTTGAAAACTGTAACCTTTCAAGCATTTTAAAGCACTTGAAGGGCTTTTAAGCTTTTAAGTTGGACAACTAAAATTTTTAATCACACATTTAAATCATTACAAAGGGCAAGATTTCTGGTATATTGGATATGATATGTATACTTTAAATATTTTTCATCAAAACCTTAAAGTGCACTTTTAGGTGATTTGATTTATGAAAACAGCCATCATATAATTTGGCAAAACCAAACCGTTAAATCAGAACATTTGGAAAAAAGGGAAAATTCTGACTAGACTTTTCAATTCTACCATGTCAGCAAGTGCATACTCGATACAACTGTGTTCTTACCCCAAGCTCGACAGGCAAGTGGGAGAGGGAAGCTCCAGCTTGTGTGAGGCTGGTCACTTGTAGAAACTACCTCTGGCTTGGGTTTTTGCTGGAGTCTTAAAGGGGCCCTGTGTTTGGCACTCTGGTGATTTTATACCCCCAAGAAATGGACCGGCAAAACCTTTCTCTGTTCTCTTGGAAAACTGGAAGCCACCAGCGTGTCCTGTGACACTCAGGTTTTAGGAAAGAGGGGCTGGAAAGGTGTCCCTGGAGCTGTCAGTGCCTGCATAGTCTTAGGAATGTCTCCCTGTGTCCCCAGAGGTGCTGAGCTGGAAGAAGGCTGGGCTTAAGGTTTTGGTGTCTCTTGTGATCACCCCTTAGCAAGTTCTACATAGATGGTCCACACCCCTCATTAACATGTGGGTGTGTTAACACCCCCTGTTTCAGATGCAGGGTCTCATCTGAGACAGGAATGAAGGCAAGTCCCAGTGAACACCCTCCTGAGCTCATGGGGCCTTGGCCCAGGCTGGGTGTCCAGAGAGGGTCTGTGACCGAGATGTCTAAGGTCAGTGCTGAGTCAGACCCCCCAGTCCCTGCTGTCACCATTCCTGCCTCCTGCCCCTCCCTGTGTGGGAAGGGGTGTGACGGGGAATTCTGGGCTGAGCAGACACTTCCTTGTGGTTAGGGCTTTGCTGTGGGCGGCAGAGGGAGACACAGCTGGCCAGTAGGGGCTGGGGGATGCCTCTGGGGGATGAGACCTGGGTCAGGGCAGAGTGTGTCAGCCAAGTGGAATCCCTGTGGCTCCATTTTCAAAGCCATTTTCAAGGCTGAGCTATTCCTTTGTCTTAGCCTGAGGACCCCCCACTAGCGGCTGCAGCCTGGGAAAATAGATGCAGTCAGGGCCACTGTGGTCTCTAGAAGCTGCAGAAGCAAAGCTGGCAGCTGTTCTGCATGGAGCCTCCAAGGAGTGAGCATGTCTGGCCCATCACCAACCTTATGCCAGAGTTGGCCTCTGCCTGGGTGGTGAGATTGGAGGGCCAAAGATGTCCTTGATCCAAATATCTCCTTTTGCAGCCTGTCACAGTGCCTGACTGCCCACCATTGAATGGATGGATAGAGAGAGAGGTAGCAAGACAAACAGAGATGCAGGACGGTGGGGAGGTGGGGCGGATAGCCTGGGGGTGGCAGATATCGGTCCCCTCCTTCATTCTTCAAATATTTGCTCTCTGACCCCGCTAAGCCCACTAACCTCTCCAAGCTTCAATTTTTTTTCTCAATAAAATGGGCATAGAATTCAAGGCCATGGTATTGGATGGGATCAGGAATGTGGATGGGATCAGGAATGTGGATGTTTCTGGCACACAGCAGGTGGCCAGTAGAATCTTGTTTCTGGGGCAGAGGTGTCCATTTGTGAGAGGAGTGCATATAACATCCCCCTCACCTCTTGGGCTTGCATGGACCTGCGTGTTGAGCCCCTAACCACTGGGTCCCTGCTTTCCAGAGAAGCTAATCCATTGGCCTCCTGCATCAGTCAGATTTGCTTTCTTGAGATTTTGGATAAAAAACCCAGAGGCAGAGGGTTCAGGTGCTGAGTTGGAGACCTGAAGGGCTGAATGATACCCGTGACCTGGCCCAGCAGGCCCACAAACGACCTGATGACTACATAATGACAGATGCAAACCTCAGTGGAGGGTCCATCACAATGCAGATTCCTGGGCCCCACCTGGGTTGCAGATTCAGGAGGCCTTAAGCTCCTTACCCCCTTGACGTTCTCCTCAATCTGATCCTGATGGAGATCTAGAAAGGGGCGGGTTGAATATGGCTGGGCTACCTTCCTAAAACTCTACCTCCTAATGGGAGCTTCTTATAATCCCTGAAGGGGAGCTAGGGTCCTGGGGACACAAGAAAGTGGCAGGAGCAAGTGAGAAGGTTGTGAATTAAATGCTGGAAGAGGAGCAACACTGTGGGTAGAGCACTGCCTGCTCCTGTCTGGAGCATCTGCCCAGTCCAGCTTTTGACCAAACAGAGCTCCTATGGGGAAGAGTCACCCAAGAGGATGGTTGTCACAGACTTGGCCTCACTGACGCCCCTGGCTTAGGGGTAAACTGAGGACAAGAGTGCTGGGCCAGGGAGACCTGAGTATGGACATAAGATAGCTGATGACCCCACTTCTTTTCTTCCTCCAAGGTAAGATCCAATGCCTCCTCCAGGAAGTCTTCCTTAATTCTTCCTTTCTCTAACACCCTCTCATGCCTCAGCTTACCAGTCAGGTCAATCTGTTGTGTGTCATGGTTCAGTCTCCTGGAGGGCACATCCTATCTCTAGGGTCACTGTTCCTCTGCCTTGGGCCAGGACTGAGAAGTCTGTCTGGGTCCAGGAGGGCAGATAATCATATGATATTTAAGAGCTTGGCCTTGGTATCTGAGAAACCTAGATTTGAATCTAATGTGTAACCCTCAGAAAGTCATTTAACCTCACTGAGCCTCAGTTTCCCCATCCGTACAAATGGAGGTAATGGTGGTTCCTACCACCATCAAAGAGAAAAAATGGTAATACCTATATATAATGTATCAGGACTTCACACTTAGAACATTGTTGGAGTTCAATAAATGTGAGCTATTATTATTATTATTATTATTATTAAAGTCTCACTCTACTCCCTGCCCCAAGGTTATATGTCAGATACCAAGGCAGGAGCTGGGGACTGTAGGGTGAAGAAGAGAACTCCCTGACATAGGACGACTTATGTTCTGTGATGGCAATGTGGCCAGAAGTCTCAGAAAACTGTGGGGAAGGTGGTGGTCTGGGAGGTGAGCTGAGATAGGCAGCTTCAGTGTGGGGGGATTTCAGGAGCGAGTGACATTGGATGGGGTGCTCAGCTTTCTGCCACATGAAGGGAAAGGAAGAAGGGCATTCTGGGCACAAGACAGAGTACAGGAGGGAGTTGCTGGTCATACTGTATGTGGATATTGGGGGGGGGGGTCAAAAGTCATTCAGGAAACCCGTTTCCAGTTGAAACATGAAAATTAAATCCCTCAAATGTTGGTAAAAGCTATGTGCCTGATCCAGGAGAGGTTCTCCCTGGGCCATGAAATGTCAGGTGTGGCTCAAGGAACTTGGGCACACGTAGGACGAGTATCTCTCAATTGACAGGTATGTCCCTGCAGGCCCCCCAAGTGCAATGAACAAGATTTTTTGCACCATGACCTGACTGAGGACCTCTGGACAATTAATTAGCAGGTCGGAGACTGAGTAATCACACTGACAAGCCATATTGAGGTTCAGGTTATTTTTGGTGAATTGAGTTTTGCTCCCACTTTGTACCTGAGTCCTACAGGCCAAGGCCAGCTCTGCAGAAAGCAGGTTGCAGCCACAGACATGCCAGGCAGCAGGAGGAGCCGGTGCCCTCACCATCCCCAAAGTGTGTCTTATTATTAAAACTCATACATCACACACTGAAGCAAATACCCAGCGTGGGGGAATTGGAATCCTTCAGCGTGGACTAGATCCATCACCTTCTAAATCAGGTACATCAGCCCGTGAATCAAACACATCACCTCTGGATTCGATGGACTCCCAGTCGGACTAGATGCATCACCTATTGAATCAAATGCAACTCTGATTGAATCAGAAACTGCACCTCACCTAGTAAATCATCTAAATATTACCCACATTACAAGTTTGGAATGGCTGCCTCACCAATACGTTTTAACAGACGACATGTTAAAGCCGCTATAACATTTAAACAATTACCTGCAAAAACGAACTCAATACATCACTGGAGCTGGCCTATCAACTTTTTGAGCAGGAGAAATCACCACCCAGATGCATGGGCTTTCCCTTTTACTCTCTTCCCGACCTCTCTCCTTCCCGACAGGGCCGGAGTCCTTTCTCCTGCAGCCGAGGTGATGCAGGCGGCGGAGTTAGGGGCTCCCTGCAGCCTGGGGGCGGCCTGCGTGAAACCCAAGGCAGCAGAGCAGATGTGGGCCCATCCGGCAGCAGACACATTTTGCTTAACCTGTACAGTGCTTAACAAAAAACAGCGACGTTTTTAAGTCAGAAAATGCATGTTAAGATCTTAGATTTGGGGCTTCTCTTAACAAAATGAGGTTTGGCAATAACAGGCCTGCATGCCCATGAATAACTAACCCTAGTAATAGCAACTATTGGCGGGTGTGGTTGCAGCCACTCTTCTGCATTGTATCATTTCGTGCTCACCACAAACCTAATGTAATATGCTGTAATAGTTTGTTATTGTTTCCAGTTGAGAGACCCAAGGCACAGAGAGGGCAGGCAGCTTGTCCAAATCACACAGCTGGGCAGTGGTGGAGGCAGGCGCATAATATCCTCACTAGCCCCAGGGTATGTGGGACTGGCGGCCCCATGTGCCTACAGGTCTGCCCATCCGGGTTCACCTCCCTCCCACCCCACCTGCTGCAACCCAGCCATTGTTTTCTGGATGCCCAGGGCAAGCTGCAGGGCCCTTTGTGAATAAACTCAGAACCATCTCATTTCCTCTGGGACCCTGCAGACCTGGAGCTTGAAGGCACTTGTTGTTTGTGACCCCAAAGCTTCAGATGGCAGCTCTGTGTGCATATCACGACTGTGCAGGGACAAGAGATGTTCCCCACTCTGTCTTTGGGCTCATTCTTAAAATTTGGCATGTCTCCACTATCTTGAACACATCAATGAAAAGGTGAAAAAAAAATCCCACAGAAGTTGGGATTTTGTATCACGCATCTGTTTTTCAAATAGACCCACGATGTCATGACCCACTAGCTGGTTGTGAAATTAATGCAGTGTATTGAGACCAGCTTAAAAAATTTTCCGTAGATTAGAATGAAATAGAAAACACCAGAGTATGGTATGTAGGGTCGAGATACTCATTGTTCTTGAATTTGTTTCCTTCATATGTACTCAATTTGTTCTTACTGTGTGGCAGGTCACGACTGCTTGAAAATGACTGTCCTACAGCCAATGGGTGAACAGATAACATTTCCTCAGGGAAACTGGGAACAAGGTTAATAGTAGGGATGGGGCAGGAGGGAGTTTTGGGAGTTTGAGAAGAAAGTGGGTTTGAAATAATAATGCAGGAGAGTGGGGATAAGAACAGATCAGAGAAGTAGAGTAAGATTATCTACCTCAAGTTAAAGGCCATGACTTGAGAGACGGTCCAGGCAGGGAATCTGTATGGAGCAGAAATAAGCCAGTTTAAGTCAAGTTGGTTGGGGGATTTTAGGTGAATCAACAGAGGGAGAGCAGGGAAATGGAATGAGGAGGGGGAGTGGAGAGATTAAATGATGGGCCAGGAGATCCACACTGGACTTCCCAGAGAAGTGACAACAGAAGGGGGAAGTGGATGCTAAGGGAAGGGCAGGCTCAATGGAAGGGGAACCCCACTCCATACTAACAGGAGTGGTAGTGGGAGGGAGCTGGGGGTAAGTTGTAGTTGGAGATGAGGGTGTTTGAAGTTGGGATGACGGAAGGGTAGAGTTGAGGGGCATGAGTCTGCTGGGTTCCCATTGGAGTAGATGGCTAAGGCAGATAGAGAACAAGGCTATGTGCAGAGAGTGGTGTGGGAACTTAGAGGCCTAGGCAGTGGAAGAGTGTTGAAAGAACCAACACTCACAACTGGGATGATGGTAGACAACCTACCAGGAGCTCCAATTTTCATGGAATGGGAGAAAGAGGCAGGGCAGGTGGTGGATGGAGAGTGAATGGAATCGGCTGATAACAGGAGACACAAAGCTGGGTATCTTTTAAGAGAGGAGAGACGGTGATGGTGTAGTTGTGGCAAGGAGTTGAGAATGGGGACTGGGCCACACCTATCCCTGATGGTAAGAATCATGTGGGTGAACCAGCACTGATGAGGAGGTGCCAAGTGTCCACAGCACAGCTGAGCTTCCCCTTGAGCAACGAGGAGGGAAAAGGTTAGAGAAGTCTGAGTATGTGGGGGGTTGGTTGAAGAAAGGATGTGAGTGCCAGGATACAGACTTGGGGACAGTGGGCAATGGAATCAGACTAAGGAGTGTTCGCAGTCATATGGACCAGAGGAGGCCAGCAGGGCTGGCGGAGAGCCCCTTCAACAGGGAGAAGGGACACGAGGGCCCTGCCTGTTTCCTGCTCAGCTCAGGGGCCACACGCCCCACTTCTACACCCTCTTCTGGCAACACAGTTCATGAGGCACAGCCTCCTCAAGCACCTAAGGTTGTGTTGATTCGAGGGCATTATCAGAACTTCCAAGCTCCTACTTCGCTGCATCTGTGGTGATGGGGGACAGTGACGACTTCACTTGAGACCGACATTCAGGTTAGCATTTGTTAAAAACTCACTGAGTGGCCAAATGGAGGTTTGGCTGAGCAGAGGCAAGGTGGAGTTGGAGGGAATTCTGAGGGATTGGAAATGGGGAAGCTGACACTGCCCTGTGTCCTTCTGACCACATCTGACCACAAGACCCACATGTCATTGTGCCCCAACTCCTCTCTGCGTCAGTCAGCCTTCCCACCCGACCCCCCACCTATCCCTCACTAGAGGCCTCAGTTGCAGAAGACTTGGCTATTATCTGCAAAACTATATATGCAGTTACAGTCGTAGTGGCAGAACTAGAAGAAATGTTCATTACACTGTGTTAGAGATGCTTCCCAGGTATACTGAACATAGTGATTATCAACTGATAGGTAGTTAAAAAAGCAAATGCTGTGATTGTATTGCAAATTACATAATCATACCGCATTATAGCTGTGTACGTGTCGAAGGAGTTAATATCTTAGAAGTACACACAAAAACACTGCAGTTTTTGCAGGCCTGCTTTGGTTTTTTTCTTCTTTTTTAATATAGCAGTTCAAGAAATCAAGTGGCCTTCCTTTTCCTGAGTGGCCTTAGCCTGTGCAACGCAGTGGTCAAGGCTGTCATCCAAGGTTCCTGGATGGTCCCCGCCAGGGCCTAACCAGGACGCACCTCCTGTCACGAGCTGTCTATGCTCCCAACCCATCCTTGGACTTCAGACAGAGCAAGTTAAGTCAAGGTGACAGCTCTGCATTGCGTGATCTTTGTGTGTCACCTGACGCGTGGAAAAGCTTAGTGAGGACGACAGGTGCATTTCCAAGGAGGGCCTGGAAAAGGTCAGCTCAGCGTTGTCATCTCTGTCTGCTCAGCAGCATCCTCCCCAGTCTATGGGTGCTGCCCTG